CCCATATTGCTTCGTTATTATTAATAAATAATTTAAGTAGTGTTCTTCTCAAGACACAATTTGCTTCATTTATTATTCATCTAATATCATAATGTAAAAATAAATATATACATTGCAAATTACGATTTTTTTTTTTACAAATGCCAAACGTTTGCAGCTACCGTATTTGTTACATTGAAGGGTGGTGGTCGTCGCGCTGCGCACGTGCGTCATTTGTTTTGATAAATATTGATTTTCCCACAATCCAATGCGCTCTTCTTATGGAAATAACAAGTATGAGGTTTGCCCTGGGCGCGACTTGCACTAATTACTGCCGGTGACTCCTTCGGATACCTTCCAATCGCCTAAAACAACCTAATCAAAGCTTAGTAACGTCTTAGTTTGTACTCGTTGATTTCGCAACAGTCAAAGTCGCCATCTTTGTTTATATGAGACCCATATATCTCGCGCATGCGACGACTACCGCCCTTTAAATACTGTGGTGCAAAGTTTCCAGGTGCACCACATGATGTGAACATTGCATGTGAATAACTGTCCCGGCACCATTGTGTTTATGAGTAGATTTATGGAAATATACTTTTATATATGTCCGTGTGACTTATAATTGTGTACACTTGTTAGAACGCCATTCTATATATTTATAAATCTACTCGATTTTAAATTCCCGTATATAATACATTGGGTATCTGCTCTTATTATAGATGTGGCCAGGTCTCACATACTTTCCTGACTTTACCAACCCTGTGACGCAGATTTGGTGGACCGCACACTGCGTAGACTTTCACGAGGAAGTCCCATATGATGCGCTCTGGATTGTAAGTACATTGTTTGTTTTTAAATCGAAAATCTACCAATTAATAATACACGTAAATATACATTCTATACATTTGTCATCGTGATGTGAGCATGTGTCACATTAACTATGCGTATTTCGTAGGATATGGACGAACCTTCAAACTTTGTCCAAGGATCCACATCAGACCCGCCATGCAACAATAATTCTCTCAACTTTCCGCCATATCTACCGAGTAAGTTAAACAAATTTATCATATGTTTCATAACACATAAACCACGTTGTCATATATATCATGGCAGTTCAGTGTAGTAAAACAGCGTAAGAATGTTCGATATTTCTATACTATGCATTTCAAATCCCAGTAATCTGATTGGTCAATGCAAGCAGATTGAATTTTTGACGTCATCGCTAATGTTCACAGAATACGTCAGTATCTCAGTATGTTGGTGATATTTCTACATTATATCTGTTTGTTTGTTTGTTTGTTTGTTTGTTTGTTTGTTTGTTCGATTATAATTTGAATACTAGTATTTCCAAAAGTTTATAATGATATGTATGTGCATTGTAAAGTCTTATACTCGTGAGGCACCATTTCCAATTTTCTCAACCTCAACTTGTCCGCGCTTTGTGGTTTTGTTTCACTAATGTATAGAGGACATTTCTCATGGACTGTGTAATCATGTTACGAAAACCGTAGATATATCGAGAGCAATAAATATATGCCTTAATCGCATGTGTTGTTCATGAGCGGTGAACATTTAGGCAGGTGAGGAAGCACGCACTACAATGTCTTGAATGCCTATTAACTTATGATACAATCCTTATTTACAAGTTTTCCGAATACGACAGTCTTGTTTAGGCGAAACGTTGTGCCGTGTTGCACTGTATTGTATTGTGTTTTTATATAGAAATCCGTGGTAGTTTGATGTATGATGACTCAATCTGCATGGATTCCGTTCAATATCTGGGAACCCATTACGACGTACACAGTTTGTATGGACATAGCATGTCAGTCATGACACATGAGTAAGTGCGTAATTGAACTTGTCTAACATGTCACGTGTCACTGCGATATCAATACATGACAATATTTTGTATTGTATAATACGCTAGAAGCCTACTATATGTGTTGAGAAAGTTGTTTATAAATCGCATGAAAATGCCCTGTGGCGTATTTACATTCATGAAGCTATTGTTCCATAGCAACATGACACGGAATTTTGTTTTTGATTCTACAACATCGCATTTTAAGAAAAATGAAGATAACAGATTACATCTTAAAGATATATTCAGAACAAT